AAGATCAAGTTGTCCCTGGGTGGTGCAAATAGTTAACACACTCAGCTGCTAGCCAAAAAGTTGGAAGGTTCTTGAGGTCACCCAGAGGCACCTTGGAAAAAATTCCTGGCAATCTACTTCTGAAAAATTAGCCATCGAACACCCTATGGAGCACAGTACTATGCTGATACACATGGGGTCGCCGTGTCTCAGAATCGACTTGCCATGCCGGCAACTGTCAGACAAATAAATCTGCATGTACTTTTATCAGAGTCTGGAGATGTTAGAGACTGGGGGAAATGAAAAGAAAAGGACTTTGATCCTTGGTTGTATTTTTTGTTGTTCCTCTAACCCTCACCCCCTCTTCACTGTCCTCTTTGCTCTTTTTACCAATCTACTCTTTTCCTTCCTGTGACTGGTTTTTCCATCACCCTCAGGATACACAGTATCCTGTGAAGACAGAATGCAGGGCATGGTCAGGATAGGTGAGCAGGGAAATATTACAGGTTTTTGTTTTTTCATCTCACATTCTGAGTTGCTCTTGCCCTTGAAATACGCACCTGATAAAAAGGGGTTGCCATTTAAATTCACATTGTCTTAAAAAATAAAACGCTCTTTTCCAGTTTTTCTCCATAATGAAGAGTTTGTTGTATTGCAGACTCTGTAATTATGCTCACTGAACAAATACCTTGAAAAGGAAGTAATTAAAAATCATGTATCAAAGATTCGATTTGACATGTGTTTAACAAATGCCTAACATGCCTATGCATTTTGTTTATTCATTGATACTAACAAGATAGAGTGAGTTCATACTCTGTGCTAGCACTATGCGAAGTGTTGAAAATCCAAAGTTAAAGAACTCACAAGATTCCTACTCTCAAGAATTTACAGTTTAATGTAAGAGAGAGGAGTATAAAAAGATCAATTGCAGGGTGACAAGACAGCCTTCTAATAGCACAAAGCTCTGTGTTGTTGTTGTTTTAAATACTGCAAACTGGTTAACTTTGCTTTATGGAATAGATGGGTTACAGGAAATTTGGCAATAAAACAATGTTTATACAAATTGAAACATTTTCCTACAACTCCACTATAAAATTGGAACTGTTTTCCTGCAGAAAAGCCTTCCAAAATGCTGAATGCAAAACTTGGGATCACAGAAAACGCTGTATTGTGCCTATATTTGGCTCTCTGGGAATTGTATTTTTTACAAGGTAACCCTTGCTTTGATTTGTAGTTCCCATCCTGCTCTCGCTGTTTTCTTCTTGTAGTACATGTCTAATTCCAGGATTGCTACCGTCCTGGGACCGGAACTATTCCTTTCTTTCTTACTGAGGTCTTCTCTATCTTCTCACTCAACTTCTGGACCTCAGTCTCCCCTCCTTCCTTTCTGTTGAGATATTTATGGCACCTAATGGAATCAAACAAGATGTATTCCAGCCTGATATGCTTCTGTGGCTTCAGATGCATCATAAAATGAGTGACTTCCTGACTTCATCCCTCTAGCTCAAGAATTAATTGAGGATGAGGACTGGCTATAGTCATTCATTCATTTAATAAATATTTATTGACTGCCTACTATGTGCATCTAGAGACACAGTTCCTAACCTCATGAGTTTATTACCCAGCACTAAATGCTTATTTGTTTTTAATTGTGATAAATACTATAGATGACAAATGTAGGTTCCTATGAACACACGCATAGAGGGAACTGACTCTGCCTGGAACATGTACAAAGATCTGGAAAGGCTTCCCTGAGGAGATGATACTGAAGCTGAGAGCTGAAGGATTAGTAGAAGACTCCTTCAGGCACGAGGAAGAGCAAAAGCTTTGGGGCAGGAAGAAGCATGGTGGTTTTGAATAACTTCGAGATCAGTGTGGCCGTAGCAAAGAGAGCAAAAAGGAGAGGGAAAAGGCTTGATTTAGTGCAGAAGAGGATTAGGATCACAGGCTCTGGAATCAGATTTCCTGAGTTGGAATCCTGGCTCCCAGCTATATCAGTTAGGAATACTTCTGGCTCCAAATAACAGAAAACCTACCCCACTGAGGCTACTATATAAGGGTTCGTTTTCCCCACGGAACAAAATGTCTGAAAACAGGCAGCCTAGGGGGGGTGGAGGGCTCAGTGGGCTCACCACAGATCCAAGCTCTTTCCATCTTCTCTGCTTGCTTATCCTGTTGCTTTGTCATTTCCTAGTCTCAAAATGGCTACTGCAGCCCCAGGCATTTTGGCCCCATTTGAGGCAGAAGGTAGGGGCAAATGTGATGCCAGTTTCTTTTATCAGAGAAGTTAAAAACTTCCCAGAAATCTTCTGGTGGACTTGTGCCTCTGTGTCATTGGCCAGAACACAACCCAAATAGTAAGAAAGCAGGGCAAGTGAGAATGTAGATTTTCCAACGCTATTTGATGGAGGCAGACAACGAGAGGGAACTGGGGGTGTGTACTGATTTCCTGTGACACAACCACTTTCTGGCTTCGTGATCTTAGGCAAGTAACATCTCCAGTTCCTCATCTGAGAAATGGGTATAATAAGAGTCTCCATCTCAAAGGCTTGTTATGAGGTTAAATGAAACAATTTTTGTGCATAATAAGTGTTCAATCAATGTGGGCTTTAATATTATGCTTACAGATATGCAGTGGCCAGATCTCCAAGCGTTATGCAGATCACGTTGATGATTTTGTGTTTATCCATAGCACGATGAGAAGGCATTGAAGGGTTTTAAGCAGGAAGGCACATGATCATATTTGTGTTTTCAAAAGAGCCTCAGTTTATCCTCGAACAGTTCTATCCCACTTTGTTATACTGTGAGATTTCAACACTGCTTTGCTTCCCGGTCTTTGCTCTCTGATAACAGAAAATGTTTCTTTTAATTCTTATTTTGACAGTCTTGGTCGTTTTGAGATGTGTGAAATTAGAATCAAATGCAGGTGTTTGAGTTCCTTTGATTTTGTTATTTTAAAGAACTTTTTAAATTGGGACAATTTAATGCCAGAATATCAACATACTTTTATCAGTATTTGGCTGATAGTGGACCTAAGGGTTAAGAGGAAAAAAAAAATCCCGGGGATTTCACTTCACTTACTTGAACTACTGCCCTACTATTAAGAGCCACAGCGAGCTTACATGTTTTTAAAAAAAGGGCTGCAGCATTCCTTTCACACTCCCACTCGCCCCTGAGGTTCTTCCACTTCCTTCCTAGGGCTTTTTTTAGAAGCGAGTGTGTTTTTCTCATGTCCGGCAACAAAGGATGTTTTGTGCTGCTACTGAGGTTTGTGTGTGTTTGTGTGACTGTGAATTACTTTAGACTCTTTCTAGAAAGTGCTGCTACTATTTGCATAATATTAGTAGAACTTTATCTTGAGTGAAAGTATCAGATGGCTAGTTTTGTTTTTGTGTATGAATTTGCCACTATACAACAACAGCTTCAAATAAACTTCCCCTATGTATTTGAAAATAATCTTAATAAACCCAAAACCATACCCATTGCCATTGGGTTGATTCCAACTCATAGCCACCCCATAGGACAGGATGGAACTGCCTCATAGGGTTTCCAAGGCTATAAACCTTTACAGAAGCAGACTGCCACGTCTTTTTCTCGTGGAGCGGCTTGGGGGGTTTGAACCACTGACCTTTCCGTTAGCAGCCAAGCGCCTAACCAATAATCTTAACAGGACCTATCAAAATGCCTTCAGAAGTCCCACACAAGTTCTTATCTATCTATCTATATATGTATATATATAAAAGGTTTAAATGATTCTTTCAGTGTATTGTATTTATTCTTATACACCTTTAAAAAGATTTTATCATCTCTTCCTTAAATACGTTTGATAGTGCCAAAAAGAGAAGGAAATGCTGACTGTACACAAGCTTTGGTGATATTCACAGAGAAAAATACTTGCAGCAGTCACGTCATCCTGCACTGGAGCTATTAGATGCCTTGGTATTAGATGTTTGCATCTTATTGTAATTCTCTGAGCAATGAGCCAAGGTGAAATAAACAGAACTTGGATGACTGAGAATTGTATCATAAATCCTGTGAGAAAATTTACCTTCCCGTTGTCAGATAATGTATGCTGGAACGTCTTCACCTTTTTTTGAGAAGTGGGGTTTACATACATCCCAGATTTTCTGTCTCAAGGAAGGGAAAGATCTTGACTGAGCCTCTGAAGGTTTTAGACACGTTTTGGTGGCTGATCTTTGCCGGTGCACGAACAGCAAAAATCCCAGCAATCGATATTATAAAGAGGCAGCACTCGCTTGAGTATAGAGGTAACAAGATTGCATTGAAGATACTCTATCTGTTTTTTAAAAAATGACAAGCCCCGTAGTCTAGATATGAAGATTCCCCCTCCGTGTGGATTTTCTTGTGATTTCTCTACTGTTGGATTTAAGGAAGGGGAGCTTAGCTTACAGGATCAGTTTAATGTCTAAATTCCTTGGCATTTGTCATGTTAGATCAGCACATCTCAGGTGGCTTTCAATAGTTGTTTTAACATTGATTTTCCTCTAGTAGGGTAAATCAAAGGAAGATTTAGAAAATCAAAGTCAGTTTTCCCTGGAGTTTTCTCAGAAACAAAGGGAAGCTGTTGTGTTGACGTTACCTTTGTTTATCTTTATATACAAGACAAAGTCACTCTTTGTGTGAGTCTCTTTCCCATACTGAGTATCTACTATGTTCAGAGCCTTGGGTATTTCTGTGTTTGGGGGATTATGCAAAAGAATTTTAAGGCACACCACTTGACTTTGAGGAACTGTCTATTTATAAAGATAAGATACTGTAATGGGACGCTGTAGTGTTGTAGGAAGAACCCAGGCTTTGGGTCAGGCACCCTGGGATTGGATCCCATCTATGCCGTCTGTTAACTGGGCAACCCTAGTCAAAGGACTTCATGTAGATCTTCATCTGTAAAATGGAGATAATGAAAATTCTTGCCTCATAGGTTGTTATGAAAAAGACAGGAAGGTGTGGTTTATTACGAACATGACACCAAACCAGACTGCTTGTGTTTAAATCCCAGCTTTACTGTTTACAGCAAATATGACCTTGGGCAAGTTTCATAACCTTTTAGTGCTTCAGCTGCCTCTTCTGAAGATGGAGATGATATTGACACCTGCTTCATAGGGCTGTTGTGAGTTTTGAAAGGTAAAGAGCTTGGAACAATGACCTGCACATAGCATTACATAAGGGTTTGCTCTCATTACTGTGGGATTAGATATAATGCATGTGAAATACTTGACACATAAGGAGGAAGTAACTGCTAGCTGTTATTATTTAAATAGAGAACACAATGTAAAGTACATTTTCAGGGCTCAATAAATGTTGGTTGACTTCATTAACTATTGCATAATGTCTCCATGTGTGGGTACATGTATGTGCAGTGTGCACATGTATGAGAAAGAGAGAGAAGAGCACATGTTTCCTAACAACATAAATTATATAATTTTAATTTTAAGGAACAAAGTATATAGGGCAGAATGGAGTGAAATTAACCAGACCATATATCTAGGAGGATTCTTGCTACTCTAGCTGGTGCTTAAAGGGTTTATTTTGTTCATATTTGAAGGCCTCATTTTTCCATTGATGCTTCTACAACATTTTCAGCTGTGGACGGAACCTCTAACATGTTTGGATAATCAAGGGGATAATCAGCTGCTGGGTGTTCCTACCACCATAAAAGGTTAAAACATGCTTTGCCTTTGTGCTTGACTAGGAAGCTAATTAATAACAATACAGGCAGTTTCCAATTTATAAATAACTTATACTTAGGAAAGTTCAGTTGTAAAACTATAATTTGGATCTTATAATACATTTTCCCATAAAAATGTTGCAAGAGATGATTTAATACTCAGGCCTACCTATCTAAGTAGCCTAGTATCTTGGAGAAAAAACTGGTACTATAGACCACCAGTCACTGTGTATGATTCACCTGATGTGTTCTGAATTCTAGATGAAGAAATGTCAGAAACACATCTCCCTCTAGGAAAATCCTGGGGAGGAGAGGACTGCCTCTTGCTTGCCCCTCATCACTTTTAGTAAAAGAGAGGTAGGAGTTTGGGGGGCATGGTTTTCACTAGGCCACATCAACCTCAGTTTCCTAGGTAACATCAATGGCAGAAGAGAAGAAGGGGTGGTGAGGTGGAAATATCCATTGTTATGTGTATGTAATTTGTTAAGACTTCTCTATTAGTAGTGATAGAAATTTGTTAAAATCTTTGGTATTTGTTTTAGCATCCCCTACCCTCCCTCTACCCGAGTCTACAAATCAAACAAGGCCATAGTCCTAGGGGAGAATGACTGTTCTTTTCATCATAGTTCTTCCTGCAGGTACCCCAGACGAAGATGTTCTCAAAATCATCTTTTTAAGAAGGCAATATTAAAAAAAAAAAAAGAGTTTGTCATTATCAACAAACAAGTCATTATTAATTCTGACTTGAGGCAGATTTAATTGTTTTGCCAGTCCAAAAAGCTTCCCTAACTATTGAATCTGTCTGCAAAGACAGCCTGGCATACACGTTGCCATTTAAGATGTGTCCATCACTAAATGCTTTAGACAGAACAGAACATGACAGTGGCTTTCTTAATGATCCAAAGCTGGTAATGTGGCATTCATTCATTCAACAAATATGTACTAAGCATTCGCTATGCACCAAATACTCTTCTAGGTGCCAGGTATACGGCAATGAAAAATACAAATAATTTGCCTGCTGAGGCTAGACAGATGATAAACACACCAACAGGTAATTATATAATGTGTGAGATGGTGATAAGTGCTGTGGAAAAGATTACATTTCGTTTAGGGTGGTCAGGCAAGGATCTGCAGGAAGTGAGGGGGTTAGCCATGAGACTCTCTGGGAAAAGAGTTCTCCAGGCAGAGAGAACAGCAAATGCAAAGCCCCTGAGCCAGGAGCATCTTGGAAGAACAGCAAGGAGCCTCCAGCTGGATCAGAGTAAGCTAGGGGAAAGTGGAGGGAGATGAGATCAGAGAGGTAGCAGGGGCACAAAGTCATGTAGGGCCTCGTAGATCACTTGAAAGATTTGCTTTTATTCTAAGTTAGATAGGAAACCACTCGAGTGTTTTGAGCACAAGTGTAACAAGAATTGACTTATATTTTTAAAGGATTACTCTGGCTCTTGTATTGAGATAAGGTAAAAGATGATGGTAGATTGAACCAAGATGGTAGCAATCAAAGTGAGGAAAAGTTTGGATTTGGGATATATTTTGAAGATAGGGCCAATAGGAGCTCTAAAGTATTGGATATGAGGTGTCAAAGAAAAAGTAGAACCAAGGATAACTCAAAACGCGTGGGCTAAGCACCTAGAATTGTCATTTATTGAGCTGGGGAAGATTACTGGGGGTAGAGGAGAAGGGAGAATTGAAAGTTTCATTTCTGATATGTTAAGTTTGACGTGCCTATTAGACATCCAAGAGCAGATGTCAAGTAGGCGGTGGGATAAGTAAGCTGAAATTCATGGACGAGGTCTGCTGTGTAAGTATTCGTTTGGGCATTTAAAGTCATGAGACTGAATGAAAACACCAATACATGCAGACAAAGAAAAGAGGAGGTGTTTGGCCTGAATGCTAGTGCTGTCCAGTATTCAGCCGTCAGAGAAATGAGGCCCAACCAGCAAAGGAGACAGAAGAGAAAGAAGAAGACATATGAGAAGGTGGTGCCCCAAAAAGCAAGTGAAGAAAGGAGTTAAGGAGGGAGTATTCATCTGTGTCAAACGCTGCAAATAAATTAGGTAAGATGAGGACTGATAGTTGATTATTGAATTTGGTGAAGGTCATTGGTGACTTTGACGCTGTGCTGTGTCACTAAACCTGCTCTCCAAACAATACCCTGATTTGTAGTGTTTATCGGTTTCAATGGTGTAAATACCCCTATCATGACCAATTTCAAGCACCAATGGTTCAACAACCAGCTCACAAAATTCTTGAGTATTAACAATTGGCTCCTGTTAGCTCCAGCCCACACTGCCTTGACAGGAGCCATTTTGGAAGGTGGGTGAAGATTGTAGAAGTATATTCAAAAGAGATGAAGCAGGAGGAATGGGAGACAGTGAGTACAGACAACTCTTTTGAGGAATTATACTATATATTTAAAAAAAGGTGATAACTAAAACAAGATGTGTGGTCAAGAGTTTGTTTTTGGTCTTTGTTTTCGTTTTAAATAGGAGCTACAGTAGCATGTTTGTATACAGATGTGAATGATTCATTTAGGGAGGGGAATTGGTGAAAAAGGAGAAAATGGGGAGAATTACTGAAATGAAGGCCTTGAATGGGAGGGGGAGGCATAGTTTGGCCTGAGGTAAGAGCATAGATAGTAGTAATAGCAGAGAATAGTTCAGCACTCTCCTATAGAAATATGACATGTGATTTAAATTTTTTTAGATATCACATTAAAAAAAGGAAAAAGCAACAGGTACAATTAATTTTAATAATTTTACCATTTTAAAAACTACTGAATATAAAATAATCACTAATGAGATATTTTACAGTCTTTCTTTGGGTGGTGGACAAAATTTTCAAAATCCAGTGGGTTTTACACAAACAGCACCTCTCAGTTTGGACTAGCCACATTTCAAGTGCTCAAAGGCCACATGTGGCTAGTGACCATATTGGAGAAGGCAGGCATAAATAATCTGTTAAGTGGTGAGATGTGTTGATGGGAGGTTGTGGAAGTTCTCCTCTTTAAAAAAAAAAAAATTGTGTGGTAAATATATATCTAACAAAACATTTTCCAATTCAACAATTTTTACATGTACAATTCAGTGGCATTGATTACATTCATCATGTTGTGCAACCCTAATCACTAGCCTTTTGGAAGTTCACACCTGAATGCTTCTGTTTTCTCAGTGAACTAGGAATCATGTTCATCCAGAAGCTAAGAGTAAAAATTGGGAAGAAGATACTGGAAGTTTGAGGAAAGAGGACAAGGTGTGAAATAGTCATGTAGGAGAGTGACAGAATGAATGGAACCAGAAAAATGTACTAGACTTGGTGTAGCACTGATGGCCCACTGGGTTAGTGGTCCAGAATTTAATGTTAGACCAGTATTCTGAGTGTGTTTTCCTTCAGCCACCTTCTGCTGTGCTGTGCCATGGGCATCTATAGAGTAGACAGAGAGTTGGATTTAACTAGGGTAAAATTAATTGGGAAGCAGACACCAATCTGCCACTCCAGTAAAAAAATGCTAAACTTTCCCCATAGGAAGCTTAGCGTTTTCCCTTTCTGATCTAGGCTTTATTGTGTGGGTTGGAGTGGGAGTGTGAGATGTTAAGCAAGAATGTATGGGAAGAGTTTAAAAGCATAGTGACATGAGTTAGGCCACTAAGCTCTTACAACATTTCTCCTAGCAAGTTCTTCAAACTCTTTCTCTAAGGTCAATTAACTGAGCTATATGCTTCCCCTTTCTTCCTTAGAAGCCATCAAACTGTTCACTAAGGTTTATAATGTTTGCATGGTCTGTATCTGATATACACTCGTCAAGGGTGAGTGGTTGTGTTGAGCTGACTCCATATTTGTCGGCAGCTAGGAAGATGTAAATGAAGGCGCTATTCACTGCTTGTAACCTGAAACTGCCAGTCAACAGAACCAATCAGAGGGTTTTGAGCAACACACTGAGGTCCTTATGTAAAGAGGATCACATGCAATTTTTGTCTTTGCAGAATTCCTCTCTGTGTAATTATTCTTTTGATCATGCTACACATGAAAGGAAAAGCAACTGGGTATAATCATGTCCTTGTTTCACTTAGAATTAACAATTGAGACAGAGTAAGGAGTCTGTCAGAACTGCTGGTCTGAGGGAGGGGTTCTCCATTCTTAATTGACAACCACTGTGCATGTCCACAAATGGTGTCCTCAGAGCAGACCTCATACTTTATACATTATACATCATGGGTAACTAAATCCTGAGTGCAATTCTGCACATGTGCAGTCCGAACTTTCTCAGCTGTGTATGTGGGATCAGTTCATTGTTCCTCACCAAATAATCCAGGTACATTTGACTCTGTTCAGGCTTTCACTAATATGTTGCAGGAATTTTCTCACAGGTTTTATATGAAAGCGGTTGAACACTTAATCTGTGCCTTAGACCACTTTCAAAACGATCGGTTTACAAAGGGAGGTTGCAGATACATTTAGGAGCTAGCTCACGTGTCTTCTGCTCTCTGATGCCTTCCTTGACACCTCAGACAGAATCAATCACTTGATGCTTTGTGCTTCCATAGCATTTTGTACATATTTCCACCATATCCCTGAACATGAAATTCCTTTCAGAACTTCATGCCTTTTCATGTGACGTGTCTTCTGCCTTCCCCACCTGTAAGCACCTCCCGATGCTTCAAAATCCAGTAAATAGATGTTGAATGAATGGATGTTTTGTAGAGAGAACTTTCCCTGAATTGATCACTGTCTCTTATGAGTCCCCACACAAATGGTTTCTGCTTCAGTTTTGGCACTTATCCAACTCTTACGATATGATTACCTGTTGGTCTCTTTCATGAGTCTGTAGATTTTCCAGCATAGGGACCATGTTTTATTCATTTTTGTGTCCCTACAGCCTAGCACCTGGTATATGGACAAGCTCTCACTTTTTTGTTGCTGTTGTTGAATGTGAAATGCAAATAATTAAGCAGGATAGTGTGATTCAGGTGAACATAGCTTGAAGTGGCCAACACTTACAGAGCCAATACAAGCTCATACTGAAGCAAATCAACCAACTGGGTGTGTATCAGATGAAACCTCAAAATGAGGATTATATCAGTTCTAGCCCAAAGCAGAAGTTTATATATAGGATGCAACCTTTTGCCCAGGAGCCCTGGTAGTGCAGTGGTTAAAGCACTCAGCTACTAAGGAATTGCACCAAAATGAAATTTCGAAATCCATTTATACGTAATTTCAATTTGAGATTTATAAGTATGTAAGAAAGGTTTATTTAAGTTTTAGTAGCCCAGCTTCATGTGGGCTCTAGTTTGGGAAAGAAAATTTTCACATGGCATTAATATATGGTAAATTGTTTTTTACAAAAACATTCTCACATCCTGTCAAGGGTGAAATTTTGATTTTGCCAATGAACTTTCCGCTGAAAGAAAAAAAATGATAAAACTGACAACTAACTTAGCTGTGAACGTTTTGTTTTGGAAACTTGCTATTCCCGAACGCTCCCTGAATTTATTTTTTGAAAATTCTTTGGAAAATTCAATGAAAAATTGGTCTTTTGAGAGATACCCTGAATGTTATAGTTTGTATTTCAGAGAAGTATTGGATCCTTGATGATACCAGTTTCATTTATTTTTATATTTTCTCATACTATTCATTGTTTCTGCAGTTCAGTATGGACATAATATTAATCTGACATCTAACATCTGACATTTTAAGATGTTTCTTCTTCCTTATGTTTCATTTGGATAAAACAGATGTATAAATTTTTTCATGTTTTGTGTACATCTTATTTACTTAACTGTGTCTTCCAAATGATAGACATTTCACGTTGCATGGATGGTGAGTGGATGGTTGAATAGTATGTGTATGTATTAAGAGCCCAGGGCTTAGATTCTAGTTGCAGTTTTGCTACCTACTAACTCTCTGGCCTTCAGCAAATTACTTATGTACACCTTTGTTTCTTTGAAAAGAGCCCTGGTGGTGCAGTGGGTAAGTACTCGGCTGGGCAGTGGTTCAAACCCACCAGCGGTCCCTCAGGAGAAAAGACCTGGTGGTCTGCTTCCAAAAAGATTACAGCCTAGGAAACCCTATGGGCAGTTCTACTCCGTCACACTGGGTTGCTACGAATTGGAATCAACTAGATGGCACACAACAACAACAACTGTTTCTTCAAATGTGCATAATAATAGTTTTACATAGAGTCGTGGGGATTAAATGAAATAATGCATGTAGAGAACTTTGCATCATAATTGGCACATACATAATAAGTGCTCAGAAATGTTAGCTCTTGTTATTACTGTTATTAACAATAAATGGCTATAACCATACAATATAAATCATTTTTAATTGAAGAAAGAATAATTACAACATTTAGAAATTGTGAATGTATCAGTTGTAGTACATTTGGCAATACCAATAATTTTCTAATCATTACAACTCATGCTCTTTTATCCATAAGAATATGAAAAGTGTAATAACCAGGGGCTTTCTTGCTACTTACAGAATTACTGGCATAGCTTGGGTGTGAAAACATTCTTATGCTTCACCAAGATACAACAGCTGGTTGCATATATACCAGGAATTAGTAAAGCATCATCACTTTGTGCAGTTTAAAATGTATATAAATTCTAGAATAATTGCTCTTAAAGCAGTTGTCTTTCCCTCTAAGTTGACCTTGAGTTCTCAAAAGGTGTGATAATATTTGAAAAGATCTGGAACAGAATCGGGACCATTAAGACAGGGCAGCTCCACATTTTGCTCCAGACTTCTTTAGAGGAAGAAGAAGTACGAATTTTAGGCAAAGGAATAAGCCAACTGAGGTCTCTCCTTGAATCAGTTTCCCCAAGAGACATCCATCAACGCGGAGGAAGGACAGGCGGAGTAAAGGACTTATGTCGTGCTCAAAGAAGGCTATTAGGAAGGTGCTTTCAGCTTTTCTCATCGCTGTAACATCTGAGTCTTCCTTCTTGGCGGCGTGGGGTAAACACCAGTGTAAGGCTGATGAGAAAGGACTGTGGGTTCCTCAGGCGATGACTCTGGCGAGAACTGAGCCGCGCGGCTGGGTCCCGCTCAGGGCGCGCGTGCACACGCGCAGATTAGTTTGAACTTGAGCAACGCCTCCAGCTTTCTTTCCACCAGATTTCTGTTTGTGCAGAGCTGGCCTTTTCTGTCAGGAAGTGCCTGCCATTTAAGGAGTACAAGCAATTCCCGACAGCCAAACTCCCTCCCCCGCCTGCCTGCTTTGCGTCCTTCTCATTGGCGTGGAGGCCAGCCGGGGCCTGCGAAGGTTCGCATTTTAAAAATGTCTTCTTTTGTCAGCTTGATATTTTCCAGAATTTAAAAGCGGAAAGGAAGAGAGGAGTACAAGGAAGCTATTAAAGATATATTAAATAAACTCTACTGGGAGCAAGTGTGTATTTAAGTGAGAATCTGTAACTTTTGCAAGGGAAGTTTTGGTGATTGCTTATTATTTTAACAAAGAGGGCAGTGTGTGTGTGTGTGTGTGTGTGTGTGTGTGTGTGTGTGTGTGGTGTGTGTGTGTGTGTGTGTGTGTGTTCCCCCTGAACTGGAGAAGCAGATGTTTAAAGGACAGGCAGGAAACAGTTCTGACAAATGAAAGGATTTTTGATTGAATTCATGAGCTAAAATTTCCTGCCAATAATTCATTCAACCCTGGGCTATATAAAAGAAAACTCATATTATTTAAGTTTAATCGCCTAACTTTTTAACATATAACCAGCACAGGCAAGTGTAGCTGCCACAGGTAAAATTGAAGTAATGCTGTAAGCTGATTTTAGATTATTATTTATTGGTTGTTTCAAAGTTATGATACTCTGTCTTTTATGCCACTCCTCCTTTTTTTTTTAATATTTATTTATTTTTTATTGTACTTCAGGTGAAGGCTTACAGAACAAACAGTTTCTCATGAAACAGCAGTACACATATTCTTTTATGACATTGGTTAACAACCCCACAACATGTCAACCCTCTAATCTCGACCTTGGAGGACCTTTTTTTTGGTGAAAATACACATAGCCAAAGATACACCATTTCAAAAATGTCTACATACACCATTCAGTGACATTGACTACGCTCTTCCAATTGTGCTGTTATTCTCACTTCAGATGAAGGCTTACAGAACAAAATAGTTTCTCATTTAACAGTTACTACAAAAGTTGCCCTATGACAATGGTTAACAATCTCACAACACATCAACAATATCCTTACTCAACCTTGGGTTCCCTATCACCAGCTTCCTTGTCCCCTTCTGCCTTCTGGCCCTTGTCACTGGACTCCTGTACCTCGTTAGTCTCATTTGGTTTTACCGGGCTGTCCACTCCCAGGCTGAACAGTGAACCTCGGAGGTAACTTCACCACTGAGCTAAAAGGGTGTCTGGGGGTCCTCCTTTTTTGGTGCTTGTGTGCCAGAAGCTATCCCTTACTGTCTGTATATGTTCAAATCCATCGTGCAGATTTTTTTTTTTTTTTTTGGTCTTTAAGCTGTTTTGTGAGCAGGTGCAGATGGCTTCTGTGAACTGAGCCAATTGAAATGCTATGTTTCAGCCTGCAGAAACTGAAGTTTTAAAAAAATGAAATAAGTATGTTTTGTGCTGAATCTGGAAAATGTTTTCCCTGTTTTATGATGAAATCTGTCACCTCTGTTTCTTTCTCTTAATGAGTTTGGTTTGTTTTCAGCCTTAAGGAAATCTTGTCACTAAAATCCACCCTCACCACTCCTCCAGTATTTTTCAGCCTGATGATTTCACAACCAGAGCCATTGCAAAATAAGGGTAAACGGGCATTAAAAAAAAAAAAAATCCCTGGAGATTTTTAAAAACTTTTTTTTTTCCTTTCTTTTTTCTTCACAGCATACTCAAGTAAACAGTCTCAATGTTTTAAGACCTTTATTCCTTTTCATAAATATAATAAGAAAAGTTACTTTTCTTAGTCAAGCCTTATGATTTTAAAACAAGCAACAAAAAAGCAAGGAGCCACTGCATCCTAAACACTTATGGTTTGGTGCTTGCAGTATTGAGTCCTCCTGAAAAACAAAGTAAAGAAAAAATTAACCCCTTTGGAGTACAGAAGGTTCTAGTAGCCATACCAGTGATGAATCTCAGCTTTTTGCTCCGGTCACAGTCACATCAGCACTGATGCAAGGCCATAAACTAAGTAACCATAAACCAAAAGCAGAATTTCACTACTCTGCTGGACCCTGAACTGAACCAAAACCAAATATAATGTTGGAATGGAACAAAAACATGTCCAAAAATAGACCTAGTGAACTAGTTCAAACCAGAATGATACTTACATATGTTGTAAAATGACTGAACAGAGCAAAACTAGAGTTTAAAAAAAAATCCCACAAACATAACCTGAACCAAACCAATGGCCCATGAGTTTGGACATCTGCACTGCCGTCATTTATGAGATGCCAGCAGGAATTGAAGGATTTGGACTCTGCTATTCTGTTGACCTCCCCAAAGATGACTGTCTCTGGGACACTGAGTCAGGTGGCAAGTGTTAACAAACAATACCTGTTTCTTTGTCAGACAGAGCACCGGTAAGCAATACCCTTACTTTGTCAGAGATACCAGAAGGAGGGGTTTTCTCAACTTTGGCACTGTTAATATTTTGGACCAGATAATTCCTTTCGGTATGTGCGTTGTAGGATGTTTAGCAGAAAACCTCACTTCTACCCTCTGAGTGCCAATAGCCCTTCTCCAGTTGTAACAGTTAAAAATGTCTCCAGTCATTGCCAGTGTCCCCTGGGGAGTAAAATCGCCCCGGTTGAGAACCACTGCAATAGAGGAGCAGTCATTAGCCTCTTGCATTGGTTCAAAAAGGTTTTCCAGTGGATGTTGGAAAGAGAAGCCACATACCTGCATAGACAGGCTACCTAGTAGAAAATATGTCAGTCTCTAAGTCTTCACTTCAGTCTTGGCTTCTCTGCTAAAGCAAGAAATCTTTCATGTTGGAAAGACCATGTATGGTACTATTGTGAGGGATACCAAGTGAAAACACTGTCAATTATTGAAGACATTGGTCAACAAACACTTTTTAAAAAATTTATCTCATACCAGCTTTTGGTGTTGGTGATCAAATGATTTCAAGATCTCTGATACACTGCAATCAGTGTTTATCTTCATATTCTAAAAACGATGTGGAAATATTTCAACATATTGAGTCTAAAAGTTTTTCCAGTTCACAGTGTAGGGAGATGTTTGATACAGGCTGCCTACATAGCCTACAGTGAATTATTTATACATTAGAGCGCTATTTCAGGAGAATTAGACGTCTTAATTATAACTTTTTTAAATTTGTGTGTATATAGTGTATGCCTTTGAAATGAAATTTATAGTTACTCTGTGCTTCAATGGGGCTTTTCAATTTTTATATACTATAACAGTACCTTTCCCTTGGCAGTCTTCATTTGGGAGGAAGATTCATTTGTACATCAGAGCATTATTTTGAACAGTGGGTTTTGACAAGATTGTAATGTGGTAATTGCATTTAAAATTGAGTTGTGCCAAAGCATTGCAAAAATAATAGTAAGTCCACTAAATATATAACACTGACACACAGAGTTCATCAGCTTTTCTTAATACTGTGAAAAACAACCGAAATTTTCTATTTTTTGGTAGGTGAGGAAAACCTGGGGATAGACTAATCTCAGTATAAAATTGAACAGCTAGTCGAGTTTTCCAAATGGTTTATTTTAATGGTGATTTAGCATTCTAAGGCACGGACCTTTAGCTTTTGTTAGCTTTTGTCTTTGCATGTAGATTATAATGCAAAGTGTTGTATAGCAACGAAAGCTATTGGTTAGTATTTTTTCATAGATTGTTAAGTGATGATGATACTGATGGAACTTATAATAACAAGAAGTACACCTTAATCTCATTTAATCTCCACAACTATACTGTTTGGAATCAGTATTTTCCCTATTTTGCCAGTGAGAAAACTGAGACTCAGAAATGTTAAGAAGACCTGATCAGGTCACCAGAGCTGTGATGATGGGGAGGGCAGGAGTGAGGAATACTAATAATTGAGAACTTACTGGACATAAGAAACCCTGGTCGTTCAATGGTTAGGCGCTCAGCTGCTAACTGAAAGGTTGGCGGTTTGAATTCACCCAACAGCTCCAAGAGAGAAAAATCTGGCGATCTGCTCCTATAAAGATTACAGCCTAAAAAACCCTGTGGGACAGTTCTACTCTGTCACAAGGGGTTGCTATTAGTCAAAATCTACTCAACCATGCCCAACAACATCAACTGGTACGCATACATCATTGACCACCGTTCTGCTCCATGACGTGGGTCCCATTTTTCTGTTTTCTGATGATGAAACCCATACTCCAAGAGCAAACACAACAGCTAGTGAATGATAGCAGCAGAATTTGAAACCAGGCCTTCTGACTCTCTTGGATTTTTTGGGTTTTTTTTTAATTGATGTTGTCGATTTAGCTGTTTCTTGAATTCAAAAACACAAAAGGAGCTCGAGGTATATGAATTCACACTTAATAATGTCTGAACTCCAACTATGCAAAAGTATAATCACCTTCTGGCCTCAGTTTTTTAGGAACAGCCAGTCCCTGAAAGTTGTCCATTCTGTCCCAGGAATCTGCCCTTACTCTAAAATTGACCAAAATATCCAGAGGTTTTGCATCACTCTATTCTAGTCTTCCTGAGAACTACCTTAGAGAAACGATGACAAGGTCAGTGACATCCTCCAACAGGAGCTGCCAGCCATTCACTTCCATCTTTTCTGTGGCCATCAACCAGGGGAGGAAGAGAATTCACCTCTGTGGGCTGCAGCCTGGAGCCTTTTCTGTCAACTTCCAATGTTTTAAATCATCCAAACCTAACACTATCTGCCAGCCATTTAGAGAACAGGACAGACTTACTTTAAGGCAATCAGCAGGCTTCGGGATATACCATACCAGTGTCGTCAGGTGTGTGAGCTTGAGTATTTAATGGACCAATTCTGACTTAAAAATGTTAGCATGATTTACATCTTTGGTTGCAATTGTAGTTGTTTCAACCAGTTTTACCCATGGCTGGCAAGTCTGTGCCTCTTAGTCCAGTCCTGGTGTCACATGCTCTTTCTGACTTGGACTTCGGCCCAAAAACTTCTTCATTCTCTGTTTTCTCCATAGACTCCTGAAGCCCAATGTGGTTACTTACTCCTTTGGAAAATGACCCTTCAACAAATCCTTTTAAAATTTCTCCCTGCTTAGTTCTGTTTCTCCAAGCAGCTTCCATTAACTGGTCTATCAGTGACTAAGTAATATTCTCCCCTTTATAAACAAGTTCTTCATCTGACCAGCTCTGGTGACAACAGACACTTGAATAAGTTCATATTTCTTGACTTAGCTCTTCTAGTAATTTCTGGCTAACAAAAAAAAAAATAGCAGATCTATATCTATCTGTCTGTCTACCTACCTACCTACCTATCTGTCTATCTGAATTTTTGTCTGTAGCAATAGCTACAGTGACATCTAACTTTGGAAAAAGTCTTATTGATCCAGGGCCTGAACCTAAACTTCTTTGTGCAGGAATTTGGAACAGTGACAATCACAGCAGTCGTGGAAATGCCGCTGTGGAGACAGCAAGGCTTGAACTCACAACGGAGATTTCATTCGAAACTGGGTTCTTTTTTTCTTGTCTCCCATATTATTTCCGGCGGTTAGCCACTTAAAGAAAAAATAAATCTTCTCTGGCCTGGGAGTAGAGAATGTGTTTTTGGAATTAAACACAACACAAATATTTCTTGGCTCAGTTTTTGTTTTGTGTCTGATGAGCTTAATATTGCTCTTCGCCTTTATACAAGCCCTTCACTGATTTCATATGTGAGGTGTCCTAGCATGAAATGCTTAAAGCAAACTCTGTAATAGTGTAAATAACAGATTTATTGTCTCTTCCATATTAATGAAACCCACAGCTAAACAACTAAAGCCCTGTACTAATTGCTTGTCCTCAGAGCTGGGTATTTCAGGTCTAATTCTCTTTAGAACACCAGCTGGCATGGAGTATGTAAAAGCTCCTTCGGTTACTTTAACCACTTAAGTACTAATTTGGTGGCATGGAAAGCATTAGGCTGTGTCTATACAGGCGGAACAAAGCAGAACATAGAGCAATTTTCCAAATTTTATCAATGCGGCGAGTGAGCTTGGTTGATATTTCTAGTTAAAACAGATGTTTGAATTGTCAGGATGCATCCAAGCAGAGTGTTCGTTGAAATAAACATTAGCTTAGCAGATTCTTTTCACTGCAGACGCATTCTAAACAATGAGCAAGGTGTTAACGGTGGGAATCTGTGAGTCTTGAAGAAACTAGGCATGCTGTAAACAATTATGTAGTTTTCCGAATGTGTTATATATACAGCCAGACAACTCATACATGATTATTATATTAATGAATAAGGAATCAATTGTCAAATTTTGTAATCATTTTGGACTAAACATCTGCACGTGGTTCATTAGTCAAATTTTGTATTCTTGTTGTGCATGAACTCTGTACATACCCTTCCTTTTTTATTTGGCTCTTTTTAACACAGTTTGATATTCTGCCCTGTAAATAATTTCTGAAGCAATCCCTTTCATTTGACCCTAGTATTCCATATATGTTTATTAAAAATTTCCCCTTTGGGGGTTGCAACTGTACTACCCATTGCTATTTCTGACACAAAAGTTTGATCTGTAGTGGCCCATGACACAACTGGCAAGCTACTTAACCTTTCAAAACATGTGAAAACTGCTGTTAATTGGAGGGGGGGGGGACTGTATTTATTGCATGTTTACTATGTGCCTAACAGTTTTCTAGATATTATGGAAGGCGAATGAAGAATTAAAATTCATCCCCACCCATGTGGAGCCGACAATCTAATTGGAGAAAGAAAACGAACTCGCATGAAACAATTATAAAGAAGAAATGAATGTGTGGTGCAGGCTATTAAAGCTAAGGATAATAAGGTGTTAATTGTGTGGGATAGACATTAAGTCTCAAAGGAGTTAAGGAAGGTAGAGATCAACATGGGCTGAGGTCATCCCAGGAAGACTTTCAAAACAAACCAACAATATTTATAAGCCTCTTCTATGTTCAAAGCATTGTGAGGGCTAGAGAGAAGTATAATCACAGAGATGGGACTTAAGCAGGATCTGAGAGGATGAGAAGAATACTTACTGGCCAAGAAGAGAAGGTAAAGTACTATAAAATACAGAACTTGAGGAGGGAGGGGACAAGGGAGAACCATAGCTACAGTAATCAGCTTAACATTGCAGTTCTTCCTTTGAAACTCCTTAGACTGATGCAGATATGCCAGCTTAGATTTTTTAATCCATTTTGGCTCATTCTTGGTCTGCAAAATATTAGCATTCAGTTCAGAGGTTTCTCTGTGTGTGTGAGAGAAAAGCAGATAGTGTTGTTCTTTGGATTTGGAAAGATGATCTAGCAGAAATGATAGATGGTAGTTACTAGCATCTTTTTCTTGCAAAGAAAGGCACTTATTGAAAACAAAGGTGCCAGCCAAACTGTACAATATGTGGAAAGTGCAGAGAACTTGGTATACCATAGAAGATGTTTACTGAGAAAATGCTAACCAAGCTTTGAATGTTATTTGTAGGGTTGGTTCTCTTTGAGTTTTGTAAAAATCTGTCAAGTGGCTCCATTTGATAGGCCCTCATTTCTGTTTTGAAATATAATGTGTTAAAGTGAGCGAGCATTCATTAAGCTTTCTAAATTCCTTGTATGCTTGTTCCTATTCAAAGTCTCTGACTATAGGGTTTCCAAAGAGTGGCTGGTGAATTCGAACTGCTGACCTTTTGGTTAGCAGCCGAACTCTTAACCATTGTGCCACCAGGGCTCCTGTGAATACCAAGAAGTAATTTTTTTTGGTTCAGAGACTTGAAGATACTTCAAAACACCTTTATTTTTCAGGCAGAAATGATGCTAAAGATTTTTTTTTTTTAAAGATAACAGGCTTTCAGGTTTTTAAATCACAGTTATTAGCATTGAGGTATAGTACATTTTCTGCCCTCTGTTTAAAGCACTTTGGGTAATTTTGATTTTAAGATAACATAATATCTCAAATCTTCTATTCTATCGAGATAGCAATTACAAAAGATGCTTTGGTTGTCTTGGAGAGTTTGGAAGAGAGAAGACTATTCTTGCTCTACTATCATCTCATTAATTTTGCAGCTTTATGTCATGTATCCAGAAAGAAATGGTACAGTGCAGAAATTGCCCATGGTGCCAAGTTCTGACAGTGAACAGCCCCATTGCTACTGAAGCAGGGAAGTTTGTCTTTGTCATCAATTCAAAGTGCTCTTCTGGTGTGATGACTGCTGCCATTTCCCTCTGGATTCCGAGCTGAAGTGGAGGTGGAACACTCACTTACCAAAAACATGACAGAAAAGCACATTCATCTCTGGCACATATAATGCAGTGCGTCTGTTCTGGGAAAGTGTGGGCCAGATGTGCTGCCTTGTCTAAAGCAGATTTTACCGCTGTTTACATTCTCTCTTCTCTAATCTGCAGCTTTCTGGCATGTCCATCAGACGGTAGCAAGGGGGTATCTCTTGGTCATTAAATGCTTCAAATGATGTGAAGCATTTCAGTATAAACTGGTGTTTTGGAGAAGGATGTCTTTTAAGTTGATTTGGATTACTTTTAAAAGTAATATTGTGAGGGAAAGTTTCAATCCCCTTTGAACACAGAAGTTTAGAGCAGTAAGAACTTGGTGATCACCTAGGCCAACCATCCCCACCTCACACACTTGTTCTGTACATAAGAAACCAAATCTGGGAAAGTAATGACTTAAAGTCACACAGGAGTTAACTGGCAGATACAGTCTAAAATCTAAGTATCCTGACTTTCAGTCTAAAGGAGTGATGGAAGAGTGGAATTATTTCTTAAGATCAGGGGCCATTAAACTTTTCCTATAAAGGGTCAGATAGTAAATATTTTAGGCTTTGCAGGCCATAAGTCACTGTCAGAACTACTCAACTCTGTCCTTATAGCTAGAAAGCAGCCATAGACAATATGGAAACAGAAAAATGTGGCTATGTTCCAATAAAACTTTATTTACAAAAAGAGATGGTGGGCCAGATTTGGTTTGTGGGCTCTAGTTTGCTGACATTTATTCTAGATCTAAAGGAGGAAAATGAGCATAAAAGTCTTGGAGGGAGCTTCTTTATGAGCCATCCCAAATTTGATCTGTCACGGAGAATATAAAATTTTCAAAGGTCCAGAGGGTGCTATTAGCTAGATAAAATTGCTCTGACTCAGGAAAAACTGACTCTTTATAGCTTTCCCAAGAAAAAGGTTGTTTATGAGAATTTCAAAGTATTGAAGAGTCATTCTTCAGGATTGTCGTCATGTCACTATTGTTCCACTTAAATGTGGGTGATTTATGTTTCTATATGCTTTTAAGAAATGAAATATACTCAGAACTGAGGTCTTCTATGATCACTGTTAGGTTTTGTTAACTTGGGTATACTCTTAAAAACCCTGTCTTCTTTTCTGCAGCAGAATTCCAGGGAGTTTTTGCAGTTTAGCAGCACTTAGGACATGAAAAGGAAGTAAAAATTTCCTGAAAGATTCCTATATTTTTATACAAAATTCCTCTTGGAACATTAAAAAAAAGGCTTGGAATTGTTTTTCAGTATCACAGGTGTATGTGTGTGAGAGAAAGGGAGAGGGAGAGGGAGAGGGAGAGGGAGAGAAGCGAAATCAATCTTTGGGAAGCAAGTGAGAGGGAATACTGATAACCATGACAATAGCTGGCCTGGAATTAAAACCTTTTTCCCATTAAAAACTCCTTGGTGGTTTCAGTGCCCCACAACATAATGGAGTTAAATCAGCGCACCCTTATAAGGGGAAATTTTATAGGGTTCTTCTATTTCATATGAATAGTTGTTTGAAAAGTGATCCTTTAGGAATTATGTTGTTTTTGCTGGTCTCAATCCAGAAGGAAGACTTAAATGAAAGATGGAAAGACATGCAGAGTAGGATGGAGACTGTGTTGAGTGAGGCGAGGAATAGGGAACCAGACTCAAGTCTACTTTCCGAGACCAGCCCAGTGCCGGCCCACTGCACCTATGCACGACTCCTTCCTCCTGTTTCCCCTGTTTCCTCTAGCCCTGCTTGCTCTTCCTCATTCCTCGTTGTTGCTCTTCGCTTTTCCGTCTTCCTACCACCAAACACCAGAGTGGCAAGTGGATGGGTGATCTGTTAGGATTAGTGTGGGAGAACATTGTTTTGGTTCTTTTCTAGTTCCTTCTTCATCTCTTCTATACTAAGGTATTACAAAGAACAGGGTAAAGCGCATAAATATCTAAGCCTTTCCCAATATAAATGTTGCATTTTCAAAGATAATCCATCTGTAAAGATTATTTGGGGGAGTAATTGAAAG